ACACACACACACACACACGCTGACTTCCAAACATATTCCAAAATCGCTTCCACAGTCATTTACACCCAAAACCCTCAGCCCCATCAGCTGATGTTATATTATCTTCATTATTTCCTCTTAATCCAGAAAGAAATGAAATTTCTTTTCTTCAAGTCTAGAAAGCATTATTTTTCTTATGCTCACTTTAGTTTTCAACTCTCCCATGGAGGAGGTGAGAAAATATCTAAGTCTCCATAGTCACAGATTCCTAGAGCCAGCCAACTACTAAAGGTCCAGGGGGTCACCCTCAGGCCCCTTCCCCCACGGCACTAGGGACAGTGGAACTCGAGGTGGGAGGCAGAGACCCAGCCCAGCCTGCACGAGACCCTTACCAAGTTCCAGAAGCTCTCATGTTTGCTTGGATTCTCACTGCCCAGAACATCTGCTGACAAACTGTCCACCTCGCATACATGGAGTCGGACCCAGTCAAGGAGGTGCAAGAGGAGAGGGCCAGCTGGGAGGAGAGATTCTTGTCACACACAAAAATCTAACCTTCATCATAAACAGGTTTTGCTTTACCTAAAGTACAAAGAACATTAACACAGACAAGCTGGCAAGGCTGTCACATATGTGGTCCTGAATAAAGAACTGGGCTAGGCATCACACCTGTAATCCTAATACTCTGGGGGACTGAGGCAGGTGGATTACCTAAACTCACAGGTTTGAGACAAGCCTGAGTAAGAGCAAGACCCCATCTCTAAAAATAGCCGGCCACTATGGTAAGGGCCTGTAGTCCCAGCAACTTGGGAGGCTGAGGCAAAAGAATTGCTTGAGCCCAAGAGTTTGAGATTACTGTCAGCTGTGATGCCACTGCACTCTACTGAAGGCAACAAAGTAAGACTCTGTTTCAAAAAAACACAGTGTGGCTCAGTGGGTAGGGTGCCAGCCCCAGATACTGAGGGTGGCAGGTCCGAACCCAGCCATGGCCAGCTAAAACAGCAGTGGCAACTGCAACAAAAAATAGCCTAGCTGGGCGCTTTGTTGTTCCAGCTACTTGGGAGGCTGAGGCAAGAGAATCGCTTAAGCCCAAGAGCTGGAGGTGGCTATGAGCTACGATGGCACGGCACCCTACCGAGGGAGATAAAATGAGACTCTGGGCTCAGCGCCTGTGGCTCAAGTGGCCAAGGCGCCAGCCACATACACCTAAGGTGGCGGGTTCGAATCCCCAGCCCGGGCCCGCCAAACAACAATGATGGCTGCAACCAAAAAATGGCCAG